GGTTACTAGGTATGAGAACAGAGGTCTGGGAAGAAATCAGTCCTGCTCATTGCTAACAAGAGCTTGTCTTACCCCTGTGCTCTTTTGCCTGGGTTTTTCTGGGCTCCTGGGGTTGCATCTTCCTCTTGCTCTGAGAATCCCTTAAAGAGCTGCCTGTCTTATACAGAACTAGGCATGTGGAGCCTCAAGAGACCTACCTCTCCTACAGAAGACAGCACAGGGTAGGCCTGAGGGCGGACCTTGCCACGGGTTTGAGGACCTGCCATTAGTATGCTGGTCTCTCCTGGGTCTTATGGGGGATGAACACACCGAGCTTGAGACCTGTCTGAGTGGTGAGGCTCCCTGAGGTGAAGGCACCAGGGAGTGCCTAGAACCAAAGACTGTAGGCTCTCAGCCCCCCTGGGATAAAGAGCTTTCCCAATGGATCCCACTTTCCCTGACAACCCTTTCCCATGAACTTTTCCACTCTTAAGAAGAGAGGAAAAGAGGCATTCTCAGAGGAGCAGCTTGCCGGAGTGTTTGTTGTATTCCCGAGCTTCTCCCTGCCCATCCCCTTCGTTTCTCTCTGCCGCCTTCCCAGGTGTTGCTCCGAGGCCTGCTCCCAGCTCTCCCTTGCTAGGTATTTCCCCTTCTGACTCTCTTATGCCTGTCCTCTTCCTTCCTGATTCTGCCTGTTTCTAGATCTTCTTGCTTTGACTCTAGGTTGCTGCCTCATCCCTGGCACTCCCTACAAGGCCAAGAAGACATCATTCAAGTACAATAACAGCATTTTTTTTGGGGGGGGGCGTCAGGTGGACAGAGATCATAACTTACCTCCCTGATAAGTCTTCATACCGCATCAGAGAGGAGGCAGCATTGAATTCCCTGCACTCTGCAGTGTAGCAGGCTTTGTTTTGGATCACCACCCAACTCCCAAATACAGACAAGGAGACTTAACATTAGTTAAGAAAGCTTGGCCTTATCGTATGCTTGTCCCACTGGCTCTTAAAACTTAAAACTTAAATCTTTTGCCTCAGGGCTTCTTACCTTTTTTTCATTCTGTATGTCTTACTCCATGTCTGTCTGTCTGTCTGCTGCCTAGCTGGCTGGCCCTGGGCACCTCCCTCTTGTTGTCCCTTGTTCTACCCCCTCCTATTTATTCTGTCTGTCCACCAGCACTGTGTATCTCTCTACTGTCTAGTTATTGGTCATTCAGCTTTTTATTAGATCAATCAAGTACCTTGGGCAGGCAAAGCAACACATATTTACATAATTAAACAAATGCAAATGTAACACATCTTTGCCCAGTTAAAGTAATTTCCTATAACACAGCAGCCCTCTCAGCTGCCAACAAACTTACCTCATCTTCCTCTCTGAGCTAGGCCAGTCTGCAGAAGACTGCCCTGCCCACCTACCGGTAGGAGCATGTTGGAAGTCACTGTGGGCATTATTTCTAGGAGCAGTGGGCTCTTTCCTGTTACAGGAGCAACAGTAGGAACTTCCATTTCCATCTGTAAATCGAATCCTACCTTTAATATCTCTGTGGGTCAGATGCTGTGGGTTCCCATAGCAACTTCAGAAGAATGCTGGGAATTGATCACCCTCCTATTGTCTAGAGGTATAAAATGAGATCTGAGGATTAACCCAGCTAAAGGCAGGTCCCAGGGCAGCTGGTGGACAACAGGTCTAATTTTATGATCTCTTTGCACCAAGGTTCAGTTAGCCCACCCTGGAGCACTGGAAGATCCCAGAAACCTGAACACTCAGACCTTTCCAGGAGTATGCTCCTGCCCTGCCCATTTCCTTCTCAGACACTGCCTTTTGCAGTGTTTTTAAAGAGAGATTTGAACTCATGGCTGTCCACATTTTCTGCACACATTCATTTCTTTCCCAAGTCACAAACCCACTCATTCCAGATAATCTTCCCTTCTAATTATGACAGTCATTGTCTGATTGTGTGCTTGGATTACACCATCTTATTTGCTCATGTTAACTGCATAATTAAGACAAGCAATTACAGGGTGGTGGGGGCTTGGAATATTTTCTGTCTCCAAATGGGAGTCTAGTGTCCAGACAGGTGTTTTTTTTTCTGTCCTCTTTGGGAAGGCAGTGGAGGCTCCAGGGGAGCAGTGACCATTTATCTTGTCATTTATGGACATCACTAATTCAGTTGTTACTGTCATGGGCCCAAAGTCTCTGTCATAGGTGTACCTGCCTACACAGTTACTAGTGTTGGAGAACTGAACCTGTGTTAGGGCTGTCATGTGCTTCATTTTGGGGAGCCCAACCCTAGTGGCCATCTCCAGAGACTTCTCATGACTGGGGTAGCTCGTCTGGATAAATGGTTCTCAGAGGAGAGGCTAGGGCCAGATGGCGGATGTCATCTTCCTCCTGCATGCCCCCAGCTCCCTCCAGAAGCTCTGCACCTAGGGCAGACTATAAGCTATTCCCTTCCCTGCCTCATCTTTCTCTGTCCCCAATAATGGTCACTTAGACCTCGCCCTCCAGGAAGCCTTTGTGGTTCCTAAGTTCTGTTTGGGCATCTCCCAGAGGATGGCTTCAACCCTCTGTATCCAATGTCTTGTCCATCAGGGGTCCTCCTCTCAAGGGACTGTGGGTTCTTCTTTTTTCTTTTTTCTTTTTTCTTTTTCTTTTCTTTTCTTTTTTTTTCTCTTCTTTTCTTTTCTTTTCTTTTTTTTTCTTTTTTTTTAGGCAGGGTTTTTCTGTGTATCTGTGTAGCTTTGTAGACATCGCTGGCCTCTAACTCACAGAGATCCATCTGCCTCTGCCTCCTGAGTGCTGGGATTAAAGGCGTGCACCACCACCGCCCAGCTGGGACTGTGGATTCTTCAATGAACCTTCAGAAACTGTACTTATTCCTCCTTTCATCTGCACAGCTGCCCGCATCTCCACCAGGGAGCCCAGAGCCTCTTCCACACTGTGTGTGCACTTGCAAATTCAGACTTACTTCCCACTCTCCTGGGGACCTGGGTATTTAAATAAGTATTACAGAAGAGCCTTTGGTAAAGCCTGATATCACTTTCTGTTTTTGTTTCTATATATTTTTGGATTTCCCTTTTTCTAGGGGAAGGGACAGGGTGAAGGAGAGGCTACAGGGCAAGTTTATATCTTTCTACAGCCTATGTACTTGGTTCTGCATGACCCTGCATGGCTTAGAGTATCCAAACTGGATCTTTTCTGCTAACAAATATGTGCACAAGACCATCTGTATATAAAACTCGGTGTACCGGAGGCATCGTGATGGAAGAGACTCAGTCCCTGCTACTGAGAGTTAGAGGGAGAGATGGGAATGTATAAGCTGGGTATACTAATAAGCAGAGTAATGGCTTCACAGAAGAATGTGGGATTACCCTTGCCTGAGCCTGGGGAAAGCAGAGAAGGCTTCATGGAGGAGGTGATTTTAAGGCAGACAGAGTTTGCAAGATGAGCTTCCAATAGTGGAAGCAAGCAGGGACAAAGGCAAGTTAATGTAGCTGGGGTAAAGGGTGAAAAGTGGGAAGGTGGTGAGGCTGGGGTGCTAAGCAAAAGGTCAGGCCATGAAGACCTCAGGTACCAGGCCAGGAAAGCTCATTCTTCATTCCCAAAGCAAAATAATTAAACCTGGAGGACTCACAGTAATTTTAGGACCACCCTTTTGGCTGTGGAATGAGTATGTCCAAAGTAGTAGTTGGGCTGAGGAAATGACAAAGAGTTCAGAGTGGTGGCTTGTAGGGAGGCAAGAGCCTCAGTCACTGGGGACAGTGGGGTGTGTGTGTGTGTGTGTGTGTGTGTGTGTGTGTGTGTGTGTGTCTGTGAACTTTGGAGGGAGGGATTTTCCAGAAGAGGAGGAACAAGAACTTCATTGGCTGGGATTCCTACCTTGTGAGTGCTGGGCCATCTAGGACCAGAATCTGGGTCATCTGCCAAGAGTGAGAGGGAGGAGGAGTGGAGGCATCAGTCCTGGACCTCTGGGTATTTCTTTCAGCTGCTGGTAGATGTCAAGGTCAGAAGACAGGGATGAAGGTTGAGCAACCTTGGGACAAGGGTTGGTGTCAGGTACTGTGGAAGGACAGACTCAGGCAGGTTGTCAACATTGTCATCCTCTCTAGAGTGCTGGGAAAGGAAAAGGAGTAAGGCAGGAAGGGAGGAGGGAAAGGTGAGGGAAAGGGAGGGCTTGGGTGCTGGGAAGGCCTGAGGGAGTCCCTGATGCAGCCAGAACACCCATTAGGGACATCAGCTCTTCTCTATGCTCACTCGCTTCTCAGCCAAGACAGTACCATCCTTGCAGGCTAACACATGACAACGCCTGCAGAGGGTTTGGTCCAAGATGAACAGTGTGTTGCACTGAAACTTGCCAAATGCAACACTCAAATGCCCAACAAGCACCCTGTTCCTTGTGTGCCTCTGCATCGGAGTCTGTTCAGTGCCTGGCATGTGGGAGGGACTGAGTAGGTGTTGCTTTAGGAGTCAAGGCAAGGCCATCATGAAGATGCAGCTGTGTGCCTCCTGCTGTAGGATTGTATGAGTCTGCATATTCCCCTTCTGCAGGTAGAAATCATCAAAGCATCTGTAGGGTGGGTGGACTAAGTTGAGGCTAAGGACATAAGACAGACACCATTTGTGGTCCTGTTCTATTTTTCAGTGCTGGAATTCCTGGGGCTCTGTGGGCTCTCCTGCTGACACCAAGAAAGTATCCAAGGCATGTGCCGAGAAAATTGGCAGACATGCTGTTATCATGGTGCCTTTTCCAGTTCTTTTCTTTGTTTCAGCTCTGTTTACATGTTCTTTCCTGGTCATCTCACCCCCCCCCACACACACACACACATACACACCCTCCTCCGGTTGTTTTTCATAAGGGAAAGGGGCTTTAAGTCTACAATGTCCCTCTGCTGTCCCTAAAGTTCTGCTATGGGAATGAGCCCTCCCACAGCATTGTGACATCACTGTGCATTTGCTAGTGGCTGCCCATGTGGGCTGGGCCCTTGCCCTGCTAGGAGCAGTGGCCCTTTCATGACAGAGCCCTTCACCTTCAGGGCAACTCTCAGAGCATGGGTCCCTCCTGATTTCCCTCTGGCCCAATGTTCCTCACGGTCAAGCTGCTCTTGGGCCGAAGATGCAGCCTGAAGGTCTCTGGGAAAGAAAGTGTGGCCACACTGAAGAAACTTGTTTCTCAGCACCTGCAGGTGCCCGAGGAGCAGCAGCACCTGCTGTTCCGGGGCCAGCTCCTGGCTGATGACAAACACCTCTCAGATTACAGCATCGGGCCCAATGCTTCCATCAACGTCATCATGCGGCCTCCAGAGGAGGCAGCGCTGGATGAGACCCACCAACCCCAGCCCCTGTGGCTCCAGCTGGGCCAGGTCCTAGACAAACATTTCGGGCCCAAGGATGCCAAGGCTGTGCTGGAGCTGCTGAGGCAAGAGCATGAGGAGCGCCTGCAGAGGCTGAACTTGGAAGCCCTGGAGCAGCTGGTGGGCCAGCTCCTGGCAGAGCAGCAGCTTGAAGAGCTGGCAGAGAAAAAGGAGGACCCGGCTGTCACCTCAGAGCTCCAACAAAATGATGAAGCAGCAGGAGAAGAGGAGGCAGAAAAAGAGGAGGATGAGGAGGAGGCTGACCGGCAAACTGGCCCATCCTACTCTTTTGCCCACTAAACTTCCCCTGGACTGAACCTCCCATGCTCTCAGACGATTTTTCTCATTATTTGCTCCCGATGGGGAAGCATTCATCCCTCTCATGGAACCTTTAAGTAGTTGAAAGGTATCTGGACCCTTCTATGCCCTCTCGCCTATAGGTCCCGGTCTGAAGTACAGGATGACTGTAGCACCACCATTCTCTGCTACAAGAGTTCTGCATGGGCCAGGGTACCCTATAGGGACTGTCAAAGTCCACCCCAGCTCTGGGTGGCACAGTTTTGCCCAAGCATGGCTCAGAGAAAGTCTACATGGCTCTAGAGATTAAGTCTCAGAATGGCAGGAAACAAACAGAGCCCTAGACAGGAAAAAATGGTCTGCAAGTGGCATACTCATGGGTCCAGCTTGAATAGAGTTAGGCCCATTGCCACATTGTGACTAATCAAGACAGTGTTGAGCTCCTGACACCCGACTGGCATTGCCCAGTACTCCTTTGGAGGAAAAAAACAAAACAATACCAACCAGGCTCTGTGCCTTCATGGGGCATATGACGTACATGGGAAAAGCAAAGTGTTGTGACAACAGAGTGCAGCCTCCACAAGCTCGATGTCCTGGTGCTTGTGCCTTGCAGAATATGCCAGAGCAGGTCTTTTGTCTACCTGGGGTAAAGAGCACAGCCCCAAACCAGAGCTAAGAAGTCCAGTACTGTGTGTGTGTGGAGGGGGGATAAGTTCAGGGTTGCTTATTGAGAACCATGGTCCCCCCTTGCTGCTGAAGACCCCCAAAAAGTTGGTGCAGAAGTTTCCATACTGGAGGCTGGGGATGGAGACTGTGGAGAGGGCACAGGGAGATAGATACTTGGAAAGGAACAAGTGTAAATCCTGTTTCTCTGGGAAGCACTCTCCCCTTGGCCTGTAGGGTCCTTGACTTTCAGCCTAGTCCAACCAATGTCTTGGTTAGCATCCTTTCCTTGCAGGATGCTGAGGTTTTCCACTTGCATTATAGTATCCACTCACCTCAAAGACATTAATGCAGGCAAGAGGCAAAGATGGTATTGTTGGGAGTGGTGTTTTCTGTCAGGGAGCTCTAAGGGCCTGAGGAATCCTCTACTGGGAAAGCCTGTTTGGTAGCATGGTTCTGTCATTTCTTGACTAGAGACAACTTCACTCTGTTGATGCTCTACCCTGTCCGATAAGGGGAGAAGAAAGCCAGGGTACCAAGGGTCTGACTAGGCCCTTCCCAGACTCACTGCACACAGGTGGAGTGGGTTAGGGTCCAGGCTGCTCCAAAGTTCCTGTGCTGGTCCCACTCTCATCCCTGGGCCATTTGCCATCTGCCGGGAGGACTCATGATGGTTCTGTGAATTCATTTGTGCTGGGCTTGTGCCATTTGCCATAGGGGACAAGCCTATTATCTTTACATTAGGGGAACTAATAGTCCATTTCCCAGGAAACTTCTGAGCGATAAAAGTAAGTGGGCCGTTTTATTCTCTTTGCTGAGAGAAGCTGGCATGAAGGACAGGCAAAGCCTTTGCTTTCTCTGGCTAGTGCTAGTGGCAGAGAGCAAGGTAAGGCAGGCAGCCAGTCTCCTGCTTCTATGGTGAGCAGTTCAGGGAGGATGTGCCCAGTCTCAAACAGGGAAGAACAAAAGTTGGATCATTATATCTGCACAGTGTGTCTCCTACTTCCGATGCTATCCTTTCCAAGGGCCCTCCTGCTCCATCCATCCTCAGAAGCTGAGCACCAGAGAGCATATACCAACATGTGAAGCTTAATTTGTTAACTTCCCTGGCATAGTGTCACTCAATGCAGTGCCTCTTGTTGTATACTTATGGGCATTGTTCCTTGAGAGGAGATAACATAGCCATCAGGAAAAACAGGTGCAGCTAAATCAAAGACACATAAAATGCATAATTAGTGTAGACCAGGTTCTCAACAGACACTGAATCTTCCATGTGAATCCTGCTGTATGTGGACAACCCCAGCTCTTGGGTCACCTGCCACAAGGGCTGTCCACTGTACTAGTGGACACTGGAAGGGTTTTCTGTTCCCTACGCTACAACTCCAGTTGGGGGGAGGGGGATGATAGGAATAGGGAACAAGCTCTTTCTCAACTTTAGCTTTGTGAAGATAATTCTTTAACTCCTGTTATCTTTCTCTCCACCAAGACAGATGTTACCAGAGGTAATAGCATAGCTCAAGTAGGGTGAATCTTGTGACAGCTTTGTGTTCCTGTCCACAGAGAAATTGGACTCCCCATTGTAGCTTCTTCCTGGATCACCTATCTACAGTCTCAAACCACTCTGGTCCTTGGAAAAAATATTTCTAATGGAAATAGGAATGGCATCTTAGCCCGTGTGCTATTGTACCATTCATTTATTTCATCAACATACATTTTGGTTTCTCTGTCATAGTCTTGTGTCAGCTATATTAAGATACATTAGGCGGGTAATTGTCTTTTGAGTATTAAATGCCTCCCATAGGCCCATGTATTTGAACACTTAGTCTCCAGTTGGTGATGCTACTTTGGAACGTTGTGCGACCTTTGGAAAGTAGAGACTTGCTGGGTGAAGTAGGTCATTGAAGGCAGACCTAAGGTTTTGTACAGTCTGGCCCTACATCCTGCCTAATGTGATTAGCTGTCTCATGCTGCTGTCACTGTGGATCACTCACCCAGACTGTATCTTCCTTCCTACATTGTGCTTGTTAGATATTTTGTCAACACAATGAAAAAAGTAGTGAACCACAAGAAAGTGTTGCCCACAGTTCTGAAACACTGCAAGATCAAGGTCAAGGTCAAGGTCAAGGTGACAGTCACTGTTGAGCTGGCTCCTCCTTGGTGGTTCCTTCTATAGGTCCTCACACAGGATTCTTAGTACTATTGCATTGAAGAGAAAGTTATCCATTCTTTATCAACTCCCTTCAAGCTTTATGTTGGCAGGAGTCCTGACTCTAGGACAAGAGTAGTGTGCCCCCTGCTGTCCTTTGTTGAGGGTTTAAGTTGTTCTCAACCTTCCTAATGCTGTGACTGTATAATACAGTTGCTCATGTTGTGGTGACACCAACCATAAAATTATGTTGTTACTACTTCATAGTTATAACTTTACTAGTTATGAATTTCAATGTAGATATCTGATATGTAACCCCTGTGACAGGGTTGTTCAACCCCCAAAGGGGCTGTAATCCACATGTTGAGAATTGCTGGCTTAGGGGAAGTCCCCAATATCCTGCTTTGACTTAAGATTGAGATGTAACAGGTAAGCCACATTGCTTTTTCTCCTGCTTCTATTTTGCTCATTTTTGAGACAGGGTCTCACTTTGTATACCAGACTATTTGGACTCTCCATCTTCCCATCTCAGTCTCCTGGATGCTGAGACTATGGGCCTATGACGAGGATTGGGAATTTCCCCCTACTTCTGAATGGCCAGGCAGACAATGGTCTGTCAGGGTGAAAAGTCTTGCAGATGTGGAAGAAGTTAACACTATTCCAGAGTTCAAAAGATGCCAGGAAACCTGATATTAGAAGTAAGCCCCAGAGAGTTCTGCTTCTACCCCTCATTTGCTCCCCATCCCCACCCAAGCCTATTTGCTCAGGATTAAGTGAGACTTTGGTGGTTGTTTAAAGCTTCCAGCTGTCTGAAACTGGGGATGAGGGGCATGGATGGGAGGAAGTGGAGGGCATGGCTGAACTTCCCCAGAAAAGCACCCCAATCCAGTTGAGATGCCTGAGGGAAGGCATGGCATTGAGATGTGCACCAGATGGGATGGGCAGGCCGGGGGCATATGCTGTCTGTGCTGGAAGAGGTTCTATTAGGGGGTGAGGCTAAGGATAGAAGACCAGCTTCTATTTCCACATCTGGGACTTAGCTTGAACACAAGTTTGCTTTTGCTAAATGAAAACTATCATTATGGGAAAGGCCATAATAAATGTAAGCCTGTCTGGATGTAGTTCTAAAACTATGTAGTTCTAAAACCCTTACTACGTGGAGAAGCTGTGTGGAGGCACCGATAATCTCTACCTGCTGGTATCTAGCCCCTTATTTAATCATTTCCCTTAAATGTTTGCTCCTAATTAACAAAAATCAGTGTGAAACACAGTGTTCAGACCAGATAGGCACAACCTGATAGCCATTCACTGATATGGGAAGCCCTGGCTGGGCCCATGCCGGCTTCCCTGTTTGGTTGAGCTTTGGGAAAGTCACTTCATATTTCTGAGCCAGAGATTCAGAAGTGAGTTTGATATAAGGAGAAGGGATTGCACTTGAACTCCAGGGTGCCTTCTTGGGCCAAGTTCTATGCTGACATGAAATCATAGACATGAGTTGTTGATTTCTCCAGGCTGCTGGACGCTGATGCTTGCATGGATTACTATGAGGCACTAAGGTTAGGGATGCTCTGGATAGGTTGTTACCAGGCAGAATAGAAATTATACATTAAAATAAGAAATAAAATTACATAAAACATGTTTAGGGACATGTGCCTAGGTGGATATTATGGTAAGAAGGGAAATTCATCCAAGGAAAGGTTAACAGGGATTTCAGTTCTCTTATAAAATGATGGTTTGGTGAAATGGCTCAGTGGATAAAAAGGCACTTGCCACCAGGCTTGACAACCCCAGTTTAATCCCCAGGATCCACATAGCAGAAAGATGGTACCAACTCCCACAAGTTGTCCTCTGACCTCCACACAAGCACCATGATACACATATGTGCGCACACACACACATAATAAAAATTTAAAGCTACTTACAATAAGTTGTGGGTATATGGGTATTATACACAGTCTCGTTGTTCAGTGGCATGACTTACATACTACTTAGGGTCTCAAAGGCTAACTGAAGACTGGGTTGCATTCTCATCTGGGAGCTTGATGGGGGAAGCACCCACTTCCACACTCACATAGGTTGTAGGCAGGATTCTTGTTGCCATAGAACCCAGGGACTTTGGTTTAATGGGATGTTGGTGGAGGCTATCCAAAGTTCCTCAAAACTGCCTTCTGTCCTCGTCACCCAGATTTGCCAATATGGCTGCTTCCTTTT